AGTGGTTGAGTCCCCATCCCTGGAGGTATTTAAAAGAAGGGTAGACGTGGTGCTTAGGGACATGGTTTAGTGGTGGACTTGGCAGTGCTAGGTTAATGGTTGGACTTGATGATCCTAAGGGTCTTTTCCAACCTAAACAATTCTATGATTCTACACATAATTTTATTGATCAAAGTGCAAGGTCATTCAGCTTTATACCACTCAAGCCTAACTTTAGAACAAACTTCTTACCAGAACACACACAAAACTAGGTCTCTGAAGAAAGCATTGCATGAATTAAGAACATTCACAACTGGCTCTAAAACACTAACGAAAAGGCTTTCTATGCCCAGGGCTCATATTCATTATGACAATATGTGCAATTTGCGTAGGGAAACTTAAAAGAAAACCAAAATATTTTTAGGCGAACAGGCCATGATTCTGTAAGGCTGGACAATTTGTTCTAGGGTGGCTTAAAGTGATCCTGTATGGTATCATCACATGGCAACACACCAAACTGGTACAAACTGAGTCTAAAAAATTTGTTCAAAGTATATTGGAAGGATAACTTTGTCCTGGTAGGCGTGATGGCAAACCATGCAGTGCTTGTCCTTCCAAAGCTAACACAATGTGAAGCTGGCATACTGTATCACGTACGCTGGCAGAAACATGACCGCAGCCAATACAATCTGCATTTTTTGCTCTTGGACAATCAGAATACAACAGAAATTACTGTACCATCAATTACAGCTTTTAAGAAGCTTATACATACAATGCAAGAAAACACCAACTTTAAACATTACCTGAAGATGTATTATCCTGTTCACAAGACTTACTTCTGGAAGTAAACTTATCACGATGTTCTAGAACGGGCCCACTTCAAAGGAAAAAAAAATACACCTGCTTGAATATGTTAAATGTCAAAGGAACATTACAACACTATCAAAAATAGCAAATTTAAGTTTTTTTTCAGATCATGTGGGGTGGGTTTTTTTTTCCTTTCTAAACATCTGTCTGTACCGATTAAACACTGAAGCAAACAACTGCTAGTTAGGAATCGCAGGTCTCAAATTCATCAATTGTTCCTCTATTCAGTCATCAGGCAGACAAACTAGCATTCACACCTTCTCTCTAAACAGGTTTCCTAAAAATCCTGTGACTTCTTTTTCTTTTTTCTCCCTCCCAGAAGAAACAGACCTTCTCCTCTCCTCTATAGCATCACCTCTCAAACAATTCTCCTAGACCATGATTATAGAAGTGATTTAAAGAAATGTTTTGCATACTGTAAGGGAAGGACAGTAAAATAGTTTGTAATTGCTGTATTCTGTCATAAAATTTCCCCCATAAAATCACAATAATTAACATTAATGTAACTCCACCGGAGATTCTCTAGCAATCAAATCACTTATAACGGGGCTTCCCTTACAGCCTTAGCTTTAGTACCCCTAACCTTTCCTCCTTCCCCTATCCGTGGCTGTGCGACACTGCTTTTACCATGCCAATGAAGTTCAGCTGCGATCCACCTAAACTGCAGAAGATGCATTTCAAAGCCAGATTAGCAAACCTACACCACAAATTTGTCCAATTAAGCCTGCAGTAGGCTCGCTTACAACAAAAAAATTTTCAGTAGAATTACAACTTAAGAATTTAATAAATTCATAGACTGCCACTCCTGTTTGCTTTGTTATTGAGTTCCCATCCCATGAAGGAGAAGATATGTGCATATCTACATGCACGAACAAGAGTTTGGGTTGTATATCCTACTTAACAGCAACTTTATTAGTACGATGTTATTAGTTCTAGGAGCACTGTTCAAAAATCACACACTAACGTGGAAGCAAGCCTCAAAGGAAAAAAAAATCCCCAAAGGCAAGAAACTTACTATGACCCCTTATTCATGACAGTAAGAAGACTTCTATTAGTTTATTAACTGTATTAGCACCATATTTAAACACCTCAGGCATGAATCATGATCCCTTTTCTAGGTTCTTCACTAGTAGAACACACAACGCAGTAGTAGTACCAAACAGCTGTTCTCAGTGAGGAAGAAATGGGATTAAATGCAAGTTTTATAGACAACTCAGGAAATTACCTTTCACGACTCGTAGCCTTCTCAGCTGCAAAGGAATCTCTAGAAGAGAAAAAAAATATTATTATTACATTTACTGTTAAGTCAATTTTACTTACTGAAAAGAACCTGTAGATCAATAATTGTATGTACTGAACAGAACCATAAAAAAGACATTTGTAAAAAAAAATTTAAAAAGCAATGCAAAGAACAATAATTAAAAACTCAATTAGACTGATTAAAGAAACTTCCTCTTTTGATTACCAATCATCAGTAAACTTACTTCCACAAAAATAAATATAGCTGAAGAATTAAACACTGTATTTTCTCAATTTATAAACAAACTAACAAACTTAACAGTGAAGTTATTCTACAGGTGGTGAGGTTGTATGTGCACGTGTGTCTTTTCTTTGCCTTTTTTTTTGTTTTTAAACTGGATCTGCTACTCAAGTCCCGGAAGAACATTTTAAAAATTCCAGCGCAAGTTTCCTTATGCAGATGCAGACACTAGATTTGGCACCCACCTTTGAGACGAAGATGTTGATTACACCACTTGGTTTCTCTATTAGCTATTCAACCAGCCCAAAACTGTCACATAGTTTAAATGGGCCATTACTGCTTAAAAGTTAACAAGATGTGTTTAATTATCTACCAAGTTATACCACACCTGTAAAGAATTACATAAAAAGCTTACTGTAGTCCATGTTGCGTGTTACGTTTTCTTTTTCTTTTCATATCTGATAACTTCTGGTTTTTTCTTGCCATGTCCTGTACAGAAGAGCTGTCAGAGTCCATTTGAGACTCGGCGTCCTCAGGGCTTGAGCAAACACCTTTACTGGCTCTGTGACAAATCTTTTTGGCTATCTTCCCTGAAGACTTAGCTGACAATTGTTTCTTTCCAGAATTCTTCACACCGTCTATGAGGTGCTGCAGTGCTTTTACAGGAGTTTTGTTATTTGCACCACCAAGTGACTCCAATGCACGCAATACGTTTTTAGGCTTGTCAGACTTAGCCAGCTTCTGAATCATGGAAGTCTGTAAGTTCTGATGCAGAGGTGAAGTAAACACTTCTTCCAATTTTACAGGCTCTCTTTCGAGCTCTTCTTCGCCAGGTTCAGTGTCAGAACTCTCCTCTCTTTGTAACTGAGGCTTTTTATTACTACTTTTCTTGCCAGATTTTTTAAGCTTCTTCCTCGGACTTTCTGCCAGTCTCTTAGCTACTGTATCTTTTGGAAGTTTCTGCTTAGCAGTTTGTTTCTTGTGAACTAAATGCTGAGCAGCTTTTGAAGCTGACTGCAGATACTTGGAAGACTTGAGATTCTTTTTTGGAGACACAGTCCGCTCTTGCTGATGCCCAGCTGAGAGCATAGGCGAATCCTCATTTGGCATCACCCTTGTTTTACATTGTTCTGCATCAGATGCTTTTGTTTCCAATCCAGACTGTGACAACATCAGTTCTTCGGCTTCTGGTTTCCAGGACGTCTCCTTTTTCTGATTTGGAGAGCCTTGCCTAAGTGCATCCCTTTTAGTCTTTCCTATCAATACACAAAACACTTGGACATTAATATCTTTTTGCATTAAACCTGAAGATATATGTTGACATCTGAACACATGAAAATAAGCCAAAGAATAAAAAAAAAAATATCAGAAACCCAGATTTTTCCCAATGGTTAAAAGAAGGCTTTCTCTGAACTATAGTGTATGAAAAATTCAAAACAGAATTTTTGGTGTACTTCCAGTATTCCCTAGCAGAAAAAAAAAGGCAGAAATGTTAAATTCAATCTGCTTTCCAGTTTTCCTGCTTCCGTACTACAAAACCCTTCTCAAATAATTCCTAAAAACTGATCCCCTCCAGTTCAAAGCACATATCTTAACCTCCTTTCTACAGAGAGGAGCAAAAGCTTGTGGGTACCTACCTTCTTTGTCTGCTCATAAGGCAACACTGCTACCTTAATTTTTCAGGAGGAAAAAAAAAAGTGACAAAGGATGAGGAAAAGGCTGAGGTACTTAATGCCTTCTTTGCCTCAGTCAGTCTCTTAGCTACTGTACCACCCAAGGGTACTGAGGGAGCTGGCGGAGGGGCTCAACAAGCCACTCTCCATCATCTACCA